GAGTCGAAGGCTCAAGGTGGGGTACCTCAACCAAACCCCCTTCCTCGGCCTGGGCAACCGGGAAGTATCATTTGCCCGCGCAGTTCAGCGTCCATGGATGATGATGATGATAATCTGTTCTTGATTGAAGGAAGTCTAAGAAATTCCGGCTGTAAGGCTTTGATGCAGTATCGCCCCAATTTGTCGTTGGTAGAAGTACTCATCGGTCGAACTGGCTACAAATCGATGTGAAATACTGAAAAATATTGGTCCTAACCGCTGGGGAATTCATTTTTCCTTATATTTGTGAGAAGAACAAGCATTCTGTGATATTGAATAATTTCTCTTCGTTTCAGACCGAACCATAAGCTTATAAGTAACCCAGTTAACACACAGTTTGGGTTACCCGATTGATGACAATGAAGTGCTTGGAAATACACAAATAAAATAGCCTTTCAGCTGTAACATCATTCCTGTGCCTAGCTAACAATTTAGTTTTGGACTTTTGCGTCTGCGCACTCTCGGCTTTGCAGTTCAGACGAAGGTGAAGATTATGACCACAAGTCGATCAGTTCACCGCCCTAACATCCCTAACCAGCGACGAGCTCCTGGTGAAGAGTCCGTATCATTGTGATGAGTATGTAAAATAATCAGATGGAAAATACTTGGAGCCGATTGAGTAGCCATCGTTTTCGAAAACGTTTGGTGACAACCGGTAGATTTATTGCTGGGCAACGTTTCGCTTTTGACACAAAAGCTTCGTCAGGCCAAGTGACTAGGTTCCGAGGTTGGTCGAGATTTAAGGCGGAAGGAGAACCAATGAGCTAAGTCAAGCAAAATCTCATTTGGGTGCCGGTCGAGGGATTTTTGTGTTAGGGTGGGTGAACAAGTGTTGGGCCGGTGGGGAGGCCTACATGTGTTTGAGTCCAGTGTAGGGTCTAGTTTTTCTGGTTTGGTCTATTTGATGGTCCCTGTTGAACGTCGTTTGAACTTTATGTCCATAGAGACTGCGTGTCTAAAATTAATTGCAACGATTGCATTAAGGTATACATAGGACAAACTACCAGGGAATTACACAACAGAATTGGTGAGCATAAAAGAAGGATAAACAAACCACCAAGGAATGCAGTAGAATAACAAACGCTGGTGAAAGACTCAGCGATGGCGGTACGTGCCTTAGACACGGGACATAGAATAAGTCTGGAGAATGTGGAAGTCTTAAGACGGCGACTGCGATTCACACCACAATGGCTGATAGCCGAGGCGGCGGAAAATACTAAGCATCAGAGCGTGAATAGGACCGAGGGTGTGGAACTGGCGAGCGTATGGAAAGCGGTCTTAGATAAGCCGAGTTGGCACGTGACTGTGTGGTTGTCAGTCCATGTAGAATCATTAGCAAAAACTGGGTGGGTGGAAACCCCAACCCGACCAAAGGTCACAGCGTCCCTCTTACACACCTATCTTAGCACTAGCTCATCCACACACACGGACATAAAGTTCAAACGACGTTCAACAGGGACCATCAAATAGACCAAACCAGAAAAACTAGACCCTACACTGGACTCAAACACATGTAGGCCTCCCCACCGGCCCAACACTTGTTCACCCACCCTAACACAAAAATCCCTCGACCGGCACCCAAATGAGATTTTGCTTGACTTAGCTCATTGGTTCTCCTTCCGCCTTAAATCTCGACCAACCTCGGAACCTAGTCACTTGGCCTGACGAAGCTTTTGTGTCAAAAGCGAAACGTTGCCCAGCAATAAATCTACCGGTTGTCACCAAACGTTTTCGAAAACGATGGCTACTCAATCGGCTCCAAGTATTTTCCATCTGATTATTTTACATACTCATCACAATGATACGGACTCTTCACCAGGAGCTCGTCGCTGGTTAGGGATGTTAGGGCGGTGAACTGATCGACTTGTGGTCATAATCTTCACCTTCGTCTGAACTGCAAAGCCGAGAGTGCGCAGACGCAAAAGTCCAAAACTAAATTGTTAGCTAGGCACAGGAATGATGTTACAGCTGAAAGGCTATTTTATTTGTGTATTTCCAAGCACTTCATTGTCATCAATCGGGTAACCCAAACTGTGTGTTAACTGGGTTACTTATAAGCTTATGGTTCGGTCTGAAACGAAGAGAAATTATTCAATATCACAGAATGCTTGTTCTTCTCACAAATATAAGGAAAAATGAATTCCCCAGCGGTTAGGACCAATATTTTTCAGTATTTCACATCGATTTGTAGCCAGTTCGACCGATGAGTACTTCTACCAACGACAAATTGGGGCGATACTGCATCAAAGCCTTACAGCCGGAATTTCTTAGACTTCCTTCAATCAAGAACAGATTATCATCATCATCATCCATGGACGCTGAACTGCGCGGGCAAATGATACTTCCCGGTTGCCCAGGCCGAGGAAGGTCACTTGGCCTGACGAAGCTTTTGTGTCAAAAGCGAAACGTTGCCCAGCAATAAATCTACCGATTGTGTAAAATACTCCCCCATGTTGGTTATGATAATCGGCGGTAAAACTAAGTACTCCAACGATCAATCACTCGGCAAAGGACGAATGGATCTGAAAAATATGCCACTCGCGGCAACCGATACATCTGCACTTCTCGTCATGATGCTGGCTCAAATAAAGGAGCGTCTTTGCAGTAGCCATCGGACAGTGTGTGTGAGTCAATCATGCCAGGAGACCAGATTTGCCCACGACAAAAAATACCCCGTCAAAAACACGTACGTTGTAGTTTGCTAATGCACTGAAGATGATCAACTCTCATAACGGAGGAAACCATCAGGCTGCGACTGACAGCATCCTACTAACTCGTAACGCACGACAGCACAAACAAAAATGACAGCCATCCGCAGACGATGACTGTCCAGCATCAACCAATTGAAATGTACGTACTATGAAAGGAGTGGGATCCGGCATAGTAAAAGTTCTCAGGCAGTTTCCGGGTAGGAAGAGTACGGTTATTGGTGGTGGGGATCATTGATACACTAAAAAACTCCAGGGGCGACTGAACATCAACTCACCAAACACAATCTCGGACTTTGTCGGTCCTTCTTGGCGGGATCACTGAATTGCATGTCTTTACACCGGTCGCTCATTGCAGCAGGGCAACTCGCATAAGGGTTCAGGTGTGGGAAGTGTCGTATTGAAACTCTGGGAGAAGCCGTAGTGGTTGCATTTGGACCCTCTTCTGGCGAATGATCGGATGCTGATGTGAGCGAAGTGTCGCGCATATCAACAGGAAGGTGCGAACTGGAGAGGTGAAAGTCACAATTCGATGGAGATTCGTCCGTGGAGCTGTTGTTTTCCAGTCCCGTGATTTGAACTTGAATGGGTCGACGTAGTCGAAATGAGAGAGTGAAAAGCCAATTGATGCTCGTTGGATCCATGTGATTTGAGTTCATTTCAGCCAGGTAAATGCGTATGATGTCCACATTAACTTGGTCTTTGACTTCCATCAGCTGATTCAACAGCTGACTGAGGAGGAGCAACTGATCCAATGCATCAGGTAGACGACTGTACGACACGGGGATCCAGTGATGCCCCAGACCCACAGAGGGCACCATACCTAAGGAGATTAGAATGCAATCGTCTGGGTTGCTGGGCCGAGTATCCGTTGGTATCCGAGGGTTGGATGATTCCAGTGGGTTCAAAGAGCAGTCTACGTCAACGAGAACGTTCAACGGAGGCCGACATGGCTGAGGAGCACTCTGAACAACCCACAGACTAAGTGGGATTGATTCAAGGAATGATTGTCGATAGACTGTACACCGGGTTCGACTGCGCGGAGAGTGTTGGCTGGAAGACGCATCGAAAATTTCGACGACAGTCAGAAATTCAGCCCAAACGTGCGGACAGTGCAAACACCAGAAGTGAGGAGAATCCTAGTGAATAAAATAACAAGAACTGTTACAAATTCAATCACAGATAGGGTGAACGTCAAAATGGAGAACGCTTTTCCTTACAGTTGGTTTTGGTGATCGCAGTGACACCCACGCTTAGTTTTTAGTGTAACAATGAGATGAACGGTGTTGATGCAAAACGCATTTAGCGCTTCAACAAGGGGTGCAAAGCCCATGTAAAGTGGCTAAGAACAGATTGAGAGGCTGATGTCTGGATTGCCCATAGAGACGCAAATTTGGACAGTATAACAAAACCAAGGTAAAAGAAAACATGGCAAGGAAAAACATGATTCTTTCAAGATACCACAGTAGCCAGGAGAAAAAAGCAGAATAAAAGAATGACGAGACCCAATCAGAGAGACCGGCTATATTCACCTTCGTGCGAGAAAAAAACCGGCCAAGCATCGGGGTCTTTTCTCTATTTTAACATTAGGAATAGTTAAGCAGACTCTCCAAACTTTTATTTCCTTTTGTTTTATTTGCTACGGTGACAACAGGCGGTTCAAATTTGACACAAGATGTTGAAGCTAACCCCAAATTTCAGCCGCCTGCGATTGAAAAACTACTCACAAGGTTGTTGAACCGCTGAATCGCATGTTGTAGTCGGACAGTGAGGAGAAAAATACGTACTGAGTATTAACCACTCGAGGTACTACTATCGCAAACGAAGAAGCTGTTGTACGCAACTGAACAGGCAACTGATAAGCGATCATCCCACTACTATATTTCGCACGGTCCAGCTGATGAGATGTCAATCTTATGTTGAAGCATTTGTCAATTGTCGGTTAGCTAAAGGTGCACTAGAATCGTGAAGAATGTAAAAGTTAAACTGTTCAAATGTGGTGCCTACTCAGCACCCGCTATCAGTTGGAAACGCCGTAAGATCACTCCGGTATACACGGTAACAAGTGAAAATCGAGAAGTCGGAATCCGACTGCAGTAGGTGCTGTTACCTTAGAAAGGCATGGTTAAGTCCCACTTGCGCACGTTCCTCAGGGTCCCATACCCTACCCGACCCTAATTCCACTTCTCTCGGTGACTTATATTCGTTCATAGCTCATCTGATGCATACATCACCATATGAAGCCATGTTGAATATCTCATCTCTCGATTTTCAAAATGGTAGTCACCAGCCAATGATCTCAAAATGGGATGGCTCCGAAAGTCACCACAAAAAACCGATGTCACCAAGGTTATGTGGTGAACCAAGCGAACTTCAAACCAACCCGAATCGACTGTGTTCAATTGTTCCACTATCGATAATTCAGCCTTAGGTTCTGCTACCGTGCCCTTTTTTGCCTACTTATTCCAATCCGCGTCCACTTCTCCTCCGATTGTCCGATTATATAAGATCGATTAAATGATTCCACGGTTTCATGTGTTATCACTCACGTATTACAGCACAATCCCTGGTCAGTTAAATCAAAAATAGACAAAAGGCCATAGTGGAAAGTCCTATTAGAAATGGAGTGTGTAGTCACATAGCTCTTACCGGCCTTGAAGGGTGAACCTGATTCGAACGAGCTGAGCAGATTAAATAAGCAAATTTGTTCACATCCAACGGGACATGGCACGGACCACCACCGGGCTCCGTGGTGTTTGGGAAGGACGAGGACGATGGCTGTTCAGCTAGCAGACCGCGTAATACTGAGGCGGTATATGTGGTGACAGGAGGGACGAGAAGTTGGATAAAGAGTTGGTCAGCCTAAAGCAAAAGAAAAATCGATCGATCAACCAGCTTATAATAAATAAGGCCACACAAGGCAATCACAACTATGATACGTGCATTAGCGAAAGTATTCTCGACGAAATATTCGAGAGACTAACACGCAAATTGGCTAGATACCTTGAGTCAACAGTGGTGAAGAGAATGAAGTACAGTGCACATCGTCCCATCAGTGGAAGTGGTTGAGGGCGGGCAAAGTTCCTAATAAGCAGGACATGTTCTTGTATATAATTGTATGCCATACATCTTATGGGGTGTATAAGCGTTAATAGGTACCCACCGGCTCCACTCAGGGACTCGAAGGCAAGTAAAAACGCTTACATGCTACTCACGATTTTTGAGTAGTGAGATTATGAGGGCTCAATTTCGGACCTCGCGCTGCAAACAGAGGTCAATGCATTTGTCCTCCTTACTGGAACTCGTCATCATCTATCGGATCTCAGAGTACAATCTTAACCAAAAAATTCCCGATACGTGTTAGATTCTGACATGTTTCAAAGCGATAATTTTTAAAGTAGTGTGTGTCGAGAAGTCATCCAACTCAGAAAAATCTGAAATACGGAAAACCTGTCCATTTGAACTTAAACAAAAGTTTCCAAGTACAGTATAGCTTGATGCTCAGTTCAAACAATCCGCGGCCAACCTGGAATTCCTTTGTTGATTTTACTCAAATGCCATCATAGCCTACGGGGTTCAGGCAGTCGCAAGTAAAAACGTCAGATTCCCCTTGTACAGCTTTAAGCTTCCGAACTGTCTGTAAAAGAATGGTTGGGAGTCGATGAGATGAGTCAGTACGACGTGCCAAATTTTCCACATGCCTATCGCCCACTGGCTGAGTAAATGCAGTCGTATTTGAAGGCAAATCATTCATTTAAAAATATCCCCTAGGCAGTTTTAGACAACGAGCTTATCAAACATTGCTGGGAATCGAACGGGTAGTGAAAGTTCAAGTGTTACCGAGGTTCCTCCGGTTCTCTGATACTGTGCTGATACATGATTGTTCCAAGTGCACTAGACATATAATATATTTCCACCCCGCAAAATACAATGTTGTGATTATCCATACTTTTGAATCCCGTGCAAAGCTTTCCTTAGAGCAGCTTTTTGGTGAAAAATATGTCAGAGTGGAAACGGTATCTCTGATCAGTTAAGCTGGGACAGCGAGGTTCAAAACGCCCAGAAAACTAACGGTCACTGCTGCTGATTGGTCATTAAGTGTGTAGAGTTTGGTGAACCGATTTTCACTAATTTCATACAATTCTACCGACAACATTTTCCGAGAATGATGGCTTCCTAAAAATATGTTTTCTGTTTACTGTGACACAATAGCAGAGGCCAGAACTACAATTGAAGTGTCTATCTAAATGATCAGATTAGCACACCTCTACAACAAAGTGACGCAGTCAGCCGGCTTACTTGGCAAACGTGCTTTGTGACTTCAAAAGTTGTTATTTACACAAGGAAAGTGCGAAAGGATAAAAATCACGCCACAAACTGACCTGTAGAACCAACATATCCGGCCCCGGCAAACCAACCGAACTGCTCGGCTTTGCCGAACACAATGGCAGAAGTAACTACAAGGGGAAAATTCAGAAGGAGAGCTAATGAGGGCCAATGCGTTACGTTTCAAGCTATCCAATATAAAACAATCTTAGCCGCAATTGACAACTGGCAGCCGTCCAGAACAATGGTGCTTTTCTACTGTCCAGAGTGGGCCTATGGCTGAGGCTAATACGGACGATTCTTATATAAATCAATCTAACACAAGTTCTTGACTGATGTATTGCGTTATGTTTACCAAAAACCATTCGTCTGATACGATCGCGTCGTCAAAGCTGCCAGAATGAATTTGAGACTTCAGGCAGGTCAGAAAAAAACCAGTGTGGCAAGTAAATTTTTCTGGAAATTGATAAGTTTTACTTGCTGCGCTAGTAATTCTGATTCGCTACCAAGTAATTGCTTGCGCACCGATTCGTTGTGCATATGCCGCGACAGTTATATTAGCAATGTACCTGCGGTGGAGTTTTAAGGCATCTTGTGTCTTCAAAGTGCGGGATCAAAGTTTCGAGAACACAAATTGAAAATGATCTTCAAGTGGACACGCGTAAACGGCTCTTCGGATTGAACTGAATTCGCTCTTGACAATTAGAACAGTCGTATTATCGGCTAGTTTGTGGATGAGGTTACATTGCTCCTTGGGAGGATATTGCAAAGGTCGTGAGGTGTTTACTTTAGGCATTCAGCGTTTGAAAATGTTGTTTCCTTTCTTAGAGAAAGGATTTATTGGGTCAGTCCGAAAAATTTCATATTCCGATTGCAAGACAATAGATCGCAACAACCGGTAAATTATCTAATACGATCGAAAAGAAAACATCGAAGACCCAAACGAACCTGCTGTGCATCGCATCATGAGCCCTCAGATTTGGTCAGTCCTCCACAGCCAAGTTAGTTGTTAAATCACCAGCTCCGGGCAGGGTTCCCCAAAGAAATCTTAAGAACTGCTGCCTCGTCGTTCAAACTTAGAAGCTAGAGGCTGGGGACAAGGCCCAGAGCAAAACACTACTTCCTCTCACTGCCCGTATTTTAATAATGTGTCACAAAACAATCACAGCTTAATCAGTTGACAAGATACACAGACTGATCCAGGAACTGAAGCTTTTCAACTTGAAATGTGAAAAAGGCACAATAGGTTGAGAATTCTGAGGCAAGGGTTTGCAATGGGAAGGTGCAAGACGCACGCCAAGGCAAGGGACCACACCCGAAATTCTGTTGGGGAAAGATATTGCGGGTCGGTGATTGTCGTAAAACAAAGCAAACACTGTTCGCACAGTTACCAACTAGTACCACTCAGCCCTCTGTTTTAAAATGACCACATATTGATACGCCTCACTCACCATCAATGCCGGCGTCGGTGTTCATGCGGCACAACCGCATGGACTGGTATGCGACTCACTGAACTAGGACTAACCTAATAGTGTGATCGAATCTGGCTGGTTGTCTTAAAGTACACCTAAATTTAGAAAAACCTGTCAATTAACTATTCATACACACGTCACTATATTACGAGGCTTCTTTGGCAGGACTTACCATACAGTTATGTTGTGACCCCTGAACGATGTCAATCTACCATTGGTTGGAGCTAGATATCCATGCCATTGTCTAACAGGTATATGCTGCCACAATCAGACCCAAGTCTGAAACGCCTAAGCAGTACCTACGGAAATGTCAATCATTAGGTTGAGAATGTTGGGTGGAATGCACGGTTCGGTAGAGCGAAGGACAGGTTAGAGTGTGGGTATGTACACCAAAAAGCATTGCTTTCTAACGCCGATCATGAGCCTAGAGCATTTATAAAACATCAATTACACAGAGGACTCCAGAGTGGCATTCAATCAAACAATCTGAGCCAAAATACTTGTGAACGGGTCGGTCAACGATGCAGCAGGATGGGGACCGACCGACCAGCATATTTCATAGCCAGTTGAGGGAGATATCGCCAATTAAGTTAGAAGATGAAATGACATGCAGTGGAACTCAGTGTACGAACCAACACTGAAGCTGTTAGGTGCTCCCAAAAAGGCTATGAAACGCCCCATTGAAGTTAACTGGCAACGTAGCGCTCGCCTGCGGTGATTCGGATAAAAACAATCTAAGGCGAATAAATGAGGTAATCAACAAACATTTTGAGTTTTCGCTTGCTTCGTACATGTGGGGGAGGGGAAGTCATTCTCTACAAGGTCAAGTGACTGGCAAGCTCGCTGATCATTAGTGCAAAAATTTCAACGTGAATCGAGGACACATTGTCAATGTGTTGTTAAATGTGGTACTAACCGATGTATCTAGTGAGAACTTCATAAAACTGACTGATACAATAATAGGGATGACCGGACAAATACCACAGTGTACGGAAAGGACATTATGTACAACTCGAAATCAAGTTACTCTGCTCTAATGGATATGCATTTCCTGGCATGAAACCCAGTAAGTTGAACACCGTTCCGGACACCCTAACTTGAAGTTCAATCATCATGAGACTCCTATTACGAAACCTTACAGTTCCTGTTGAGTCATCTCCAAAATTCCATCGGGATGTCTTTTGAAATATTTCGGAACTGTTCAACGCTGAAAACGTATGGTCTAATGCAAATGATGTACTATCCTCACAATGATGACAAATATACTTATAGATAACCAGTCTGTTCGCGTCTGCATTTCACTGCCGTATATCTAGAGTTGAGTCGTTCCCTTAGTTTGCCAGTTGATGAGCAAGCTAAGATCGCAAAATGTTTACCGTGAATCGATCTAGAAAGCTAAACGATTGGAAGTTCCTTCTTCCACCAAAGATGTTCGTTAGGTCATGTGAATGATAGCTAACATAAATTCAGAGGGAAACAACATAACTGTAAAGCGTTGTAGTGTGAGGCGAAAAACAGCAAACAACGCTCAGCTTACCCTAGGCATCAGTGCTTCACAGCGGAGGTGGTAGGACTTCGGTTCAATGAGTCCAGTATCTTGCGACAACAAAGACGTCTGACGCATAAGCGTGTACTGTACAACAGGTAGAAAAGCAAAAAATGAATTCCATGGCAAGTACGTTAACCTGCACTCACCGAGAGGTCAAAACACAGTAGGTATGCGGCTTTCCGCCCTAGTATTCAAAAAAAGACAACAGAATACCATGCAGACGAAAGATGGACAGATACAATGACCCAGAATTCGCAGATTCCACACACTAGGCATGTGATTGGTGATAGTATTGATCAAGCGGCAGTCTAGCGACTTCAGTGATGCTGAACAATGGAGCACATATCAGTGCCAAAGTGTGTCATTAATTCCGAAAAATCTATGGGTGATATGCAGTTTGAAATCGCAGTTGGAAACCCCGAAGCACCCTTGGACAGCTCGAATTGGCCTGAAGCTAAAAATGAGGTGAATATCAAGCTGTTTGTACGGTCTTTCTTGGCTGTGGTTCGGATCATCGTGCCGTTTCACGATAGTTCCGGCGAAAATCCTCAGGCAATTGATTATCAGGATAACGAACACGAGTACATTGTCTATGATGAAGTGTGGAGACCAAAAATGTGCTGGGAACACGCCTGTCCCCTAATGCTGAGATTCTTGTCGGTTCTTGCTACTTCGCTCTTCCTTCAATTTCTTGGTGCAATGCCAAAGTGTTTCCACCAACATGCGTATTCGAAGCCATCATTCATTCTGTCCGACCTGCTCTCCACAGAATGTTGACATGTCTCGTTCAGCAAAGATACGAATGGATGCCCAGTGAACGAAAAAATTGAACGTACACACTGCGCGGCATCGTGATTAACATTCCAACAGAAATACGGTTTGACATCGTCCGGATATTCTATCAGCCTCTTCTTCTAATCACAGCAGTTGGATTCGGTAAAACACAACATTACAAAGCATGCGCAGTTTTGTATCCGACAGCGGCAAGTAAGGTAAGCCGACGGTTTAAGCCACACTGCATATGGAAAAAGTAGCACGTAATTGAGACGACACGTTTCTAATTTCTTATCAAAAATTTATCGCATTTAATTAATTTTTAATAAACCTATCGGGTCAGTTCAACAGCCCTCATAGCTGGATAGCCTATATATTCCAGTTCACTTTGTACCGGAGGATCAGTGTGAAGTTTTCGTGCTCAACACTGTTGGCAGCCACCTTTGCGTCTTTTACTTCTCCCTCAAAGAAAGGAGCCAGGCAGACGACGCACAAAAAGCAGCATCGTGATCTGGGGTTAAAAGATGGATCAAAACGATTTGGCGACAGCATGCCCCAAGGGTCGTAATTTAAAAGCACAAGTTCTCCAAACAGATCGTAACAGGCATGTAGTGAGCAGGTTGAGAAAAGCCACGGAGTCGATGACGCTCGAATCCCCGTACCAACACCGATATCCTTGGCGGGAACGCCTTGTAAAGATTCTTGGAAGACGAATCTGACAGCAAACATACGAACCTGCCAATCAAACGACTTCAGACAACACAACAACAGGGACAGAAGATGGTAATCAGCAGGATGCGGGTGCGTGATGCACAGAAACAACAGACTGTTCGATCCACACAACTCCGAGTTTTACCACAAACAAAATGGATAACATGATACTAGTATCAGAAGAACGATTAAATCTCGTAGTAAACGGACCTTCCAACGAGGCTGGAAACAAAAGACAGATGGATAAATGTAGCCCTAGGAAGCAAACAGACCACGGTGGGGGCGAAAACCAAGTATCGCTGTGACTGTAGTGGGGAATCGATGCGTATAAAACATACAATCACAGGTCATTTATTTGCATCGTCAGTCTCATGGGTTTCGTGGGTGGTTGAAAGTACAGTAACTGTTCCATTCACCTGTATCTGTGAACAACGTATTTCAAGTTTGCTGTCTAGGCGGAAACGGTGTCTTACTAACGTTTGGTAGGCTTTATTTGACTACAGTAGCATGCGATTGTTTTGTAGCCACTCAGTGAAAGCGGTATTCTCTAGTTCAGAATTGTTATCGCTTTAGTTATACAGTCCGTTTTGTCTAATGAGCACTCACTTATCTGTGAGTTTGCATAAACGGTTTTCAATTTGCTAGAGGGCGTAACCTGACAGATATGGCTATATCATGCAGTAAATGTCGATCTTGTACAAATTTGTCGCCCCTCATTGCGGAGCTCCTTCAACTCCAGTCATATCTGACAAACAGGACTATTTAAATTTCATGGACTGACTGGGTTATGGTCCCTAACACGTGTCCTTCACTCATTTACTCTCCTTATCCTCAGTGAACGAAGCCTTAGCAGCTGGAACCGCCGCACTTCGATACACGATTTGTGACTGGAGTGAACTATGCGGTCGGAACTCAAAATGGTGCAATTGGTGGCATACTGGGATCGGTTGAAAAACAACCGCGGTCGTCGGAAATAAATCCTAGTCGCGGTGGTCTGGCTTGAGTGCTGCAATGAACTCAAGGGCTACACTGGTTGGAACTTCGTTTCGCAAGGGGAGCAGCCTGACCAAGAGCAGTGAGACGCCGTACCATAAGTAATCGTGCTGCAAGATAATCTGGGGATACAGTCGTTCCGTCTTCGCCGATTGGCGTGTTAAGGAAGTAAAGTATTGTTTTCTCCTAGGCGACCAGCATGTCCACATTTTTGGAAGCAGCAATACTGTCTTCCTCCGAGGAAGGATTACAAAAGGTCGCTCTGATCGCCCAAAGGTTGGTCGTGACCGTAGCAGCGGTTGAAATACTTGTAATTCGGTGATGCTCAAAAAGCACCCGTTGTCCCCAACCTCATTAAGAATCAGACAATAATACTCCCTTCGCCCACCCATTATGCCAGCCCACTGCCATCGATCAGATTGGACAGGGCTCCGGGCAGGGTCACCACTGCCTCGCGGGTCAGGCTTTTGAGTCAGAGACCAGAGGAAGAATCCTAAGACAGAAAACATATCCTTCCACTGCCTTTCAGATCAGATTCTAAGTCAGAGGCTCAAAGCGCGGCAAATTAACCAAACTCCCTTCCTTGGCCTGAGCGACCGGGAAGTGTCGTTTGTCCACATAGTTTTCTGTATATCGATATCTCTTCCCAATCCCTTCCCACCAAACAAGCCAAAGTTGCTGATCATTTGTCATTTATGTGACCGGTATGCCTTATACACTCCGCTACCAATTAACAACAAACAGAATAACTGCTACAGCCATGAGATCCTTTCTACATAGGACCATTTAACATTCGTACTCTAGGTCAAATTGGCAAACCGAGACCCTATACTCCCTTAAAATTTATGTATGCTGTATCTCTGTAACACGCAAGCACCGTCATGACCCTAAAAACGCCAAAGACGAACTCAGAACTTTCATATTTCACTCTGTGGGTTTGGTGATCCAGAAGCGATGTCTCGTCAAATATATGGCGTGGGAGTTGTACTCAGCCCTAGAGCTGAGCACATTTTGCTAGACTGAACAGTCGTCCAGTCAACAGTTGTCCTCGCGCTGTTCGGTTATCGAGCTCAATCAATTGCAATGCTAATTGACACCAAAAATCGTGAAGATGGACAAGGCATTTGCCACAGGTATCAGCAGCACCCTTTACTAATTAATATTACCGATCGGCCAAAAGATAGCAACGACCAACGAAACGATAAGTGAAAAAGTAGGCTCATTAATTCACTCACACAAAGGCCGACTGGAAAGATAGGCCAAACAGTTCGAAGAATAGTTTAGCTGGTCTCCAGCAACACAGACTCTGGAGACAGTGCATGTGAGTAAGTGGAATGTAAACTTCAATCACCCATCAAAAGAAACAGTAAGAAATATGAATGTTGAAATGGAGAAAGCAACAGAATAGGACGGTCTAAACTTTAAGGAAGGGGCGGAACTCCTAGTTATGCATTTGACAAATCTTATTAGTGCGATATGGAGTGAANTATATATATATATATAATCAGCGTTACATTGTGATGATCGTGATAATGATTGTAACTTTTTCATGCTTTCGTAAAATCAATTATGGCATGCAACGGTTGATTTGTGACCAAACGTTGACCCCTCAGAAGACGCATGGATAAAAGGGGTGGGGCCCGAAGTGCACCTGTTTGATCGACCGAGCAATACCTTGGGCGATGCCGTAGAGTCGAAAGATGGTGGGACCATCCAGACTAGAAATCGGGTCAGAGCTGCGGTAGAACCACATAGACAAAAAGAGGGAAGGAGCGAAATATGTCCCTACATAAGACAGATGTTAATAAAAGATAACTGCCAACGACCTCCTCCTTAAGACAGTATTCTACTGCTTTCCGGAAAAGCAAACAGATCTCCGAAATTTCTTCAGCTGGAAGAAAAATCATCTCGGTCGGCCAGTGGAATCACCACTGACGGTCTTTTGAGAGATCCTATTAGCCAAACGTATCTTTGGAATGTACTGTATCTGTTCTTATAACGCTCAAAATGTTACCGATTGATGGAGAATATACACACAGTAATGAACGGCTTCAAACGTCCAAAAGCGGACACAGAAATTTCTGACAAAACAAATTTCTGCGAGATGGCCTCAGTAGACGGAAATGTCGTTCCAGCGAAGCTAAATACCATATCAACAAATGGACGATTCTGACAGAATAAATCGATTAAGCACAGTTATAGAGCCCAACTTTCTAGGACGCCAGCTCACCTATCGGTAGAACAAAGAATGGAAGAAACAGTGGGAGCAAGTACTTCCATCCGACTGGGTCGGAAAGCAAACAAAAGTGATATACGCCCGCTGATTCCTGTTAAAAATGCACTAAAATCCCGTTGCTCCAAAAAATCCAATATATATATGAGCGTAATCCAAGAGCGACTGTCAGACAATTAAATGGAAATGAGTGTGTTTAATGTAAAGATTATGTTCCGGTGCCTAGAGCCCCTGACTGATATTTCCATTTGGCCACCGAAAGGTAACCTGAAGTAATTAATGAAGTCATTTTAAAAATAAAAGATGTTGCTGCATCCTCTCCACGACTATTCACTTGGTTTACTCAGTCAAACGTATATCGATGGGGCAAGAGACTGTGCTCTTTGTCAACGAAAAAGGCACGCCCCATCCACACACAAAGTTTACCAAGCAAACAGATTTGGTAAGGACTGTTGCTTGCTTTTGTTTCACCAAAAGAAAAGAGCGGGTTGCAGATCGCATTCAGCTCAGTACTACCTTCTTAACTGGTGAGGGAAACTGGTCGTAGCGGTCAACTATTCAGACACAGCTCTTCCGGGTAGTCTGCCTGAAGCCAGAACGAAAGTCTCGTTAATTTAAAGGAGGACGAATAAGCCACTCTGGGAACTACAGCCGACTGAAGAAATACTAGAGTGGATGAAAGAAGCCATACGAATTACGCAGGTTACTGATTCTGCGACAAAGGGGACATTAGAAGAGAGAAGAACCAGTAGACGAGAGTTTACCCATTCTAAACCCTGCTGATGGAGTGTTGCAAAATGCTGTGATCGACGGAATAGCTGTGTAGTGGAACTAGCTTCCAAGGAATAATATCCCAGGAAGCTTAAGTTGCTGTTCAAATTGAATGAGATCTGTGGACAGATGATGTGGAAGTAAAATTAATCAACCTGAACCGAGAACAAGCGATATCGGAGATAGTTCTTAAGGCCAAAGGACTCAAAGGGCGTTTCCACCTTGGGGGTATTACGGTCCCAATCCATGTGGGGAAATTGGACAGCAGTAAATTTGAATAAGTACACAGAAGATCATGACCATACTCCCCAAAGTTGAGTAGAAATGAACTCATTAAAAGGGCTATTTGAAGTTAAGAAGCTGATATAGTACACTTCGCCACTGAAAGCTGATGACGGGTATCTGTGAACTTCAAGACAAAAACACTGGTGTGCTTAGAAAGTCTCTTCGTTGAAGACGTCCCAGCAACTTGTTATGTTTCGTAATCTAAAAAATTTTCCTCATAGGACGAGGTTTTAGAGCCAGCTTAGTGAGTGGCAGTGACGTGGGAAAGCAGTTTGAATACTTCAGCATGCAAGACCCCACTACGGACACCTAAAACCGATTACAAGCACGGGTGTTTCATATTTCGGATATCTGGTTATTCTGACGCAATGGCTCGTGGTAACTACAGCGTGGGAGTTGCACCCAGCCGCGAGGCTCAGACCGCCTTACTGGACTGGATCCCAGTAAACAGACACCTTTGTGCTGTGTGGCAGTCTGATTCAATTAGGATAAATACAGGTGGATGCTGTACCGGCATACGCCCCGACAGACTGTAGTTCTGAGAGTGAGAAGAAGTGGTTTTATCAATGTCTGATATGAATGCCCAAGTTGGACGACTAAATCCGGGAGAAGCGCAGCTGGGTGGTCGATTTGGAGTCGATGCTTAGAGTACGGATAATTGGGAGCGACTGCTTCAGCTGTGTAACAATCATTATGTCCCTGGCCAGTTCAAACTTCCAACATGAACGTTCACATCCAGTTGCTTGGAAGCTGTCAACAGCAAGACTGCAGTATCTTTAGCTAAGAAATAGGTGGCTTACGTTGCGACATGATAACATTCCCCATGGACTCTAAAATCGAAAATGAAATATTCGAGATAATCATGGTTGCCATCATCGCTCAGTCAGTGATAGAAGACAAGAAAACACGCATTTATGCAGTAAAAAGGAGACGAAAACAACTACTCATTTCCCCAGCGTCCTTTGCGCTAGACAGAGAAATAACTGGAATGCGTAAGAATTTAGTCCAGTGCTGTTATTGGGCTTGGTGCTGACAGTGATGAAGGTGTGAGATAATATCCGCGCGTCCTCGATCGGTCGATTGGCGTATGGAGGTGGAACTAGCAGTTTCATCGATCTGTGCTAAATGTATCAGAGATGGGTCACAAACAGGCAGAGAAGTCGATGGACAGCACAAGCGACCACCACAACCAACTCCACTGAATGAATGTGCCACACGCAGCACATGAATGCGCTGGTTTGACCGGAACGCTGTATGGACTGTCAAAGCTGTCAGTAAGGTCATTAGACGGGACATATGGACCAATGGTGGGCTAGTAAAAGAGCAGGATTTTCTAGAAAGTGAATCCTGTCAACCAGCCGTCCGTGTATGACATTACCAGATGGCATTAACCAGATGTCTATTTGCATGGATAGCATTGCAACCAAATGGACTATTCTGGGTCATGGTATGGAGACCTTCCTTTGTGTAGAACAAGGAGAAAACATCAGAGGATCGAATATCAGTTCGTAAGTGAACTACTAGTATTAATTTCATCTCCCAGGTGAGAAAGCCGACGGAACGGAGTACAATCATGTGTTTCGACGTACAGCAGTACCTCCTATAATCAAAGTAGTGATGTCCAGACAGTCCCATTCACGTGATGAAGTCCTTCTGTGGACAAATTGATATACATCAAACACATTTTCGCGAGAAATGCTTGAGGGTCATAAAATAATCACCGTTCGGGCAAATCATTCAGGTCTCTTGAGTAGGATGTGATGATTCAGACGTGTCCAAGGTGTATTGGTGTGATGCTGCCAAACCCTGTTCACTGGTCAAATGAACGGAGTAAAAATTCTGGCACAACCGGCGATACACAACACAGATGAGCTTGAATAGGGAGCAAAGTCTGAGTACAGAGCTCCCTACTCTATGTCGTACACTCACCAGAACGACAGCGCTAGCACAAAAGAAAGGCCGCCAACACGAAAGTGATGAGGATAGGAACATAACCAAGCACGAACGGTGCTGTACTCACCAAATTTAAATGCAGGGTCAACAGGAACATATTGAGCCATATGACAGTATCCGCATCGAACCTCACGTAAAACGGCTTCAGTTGCGCGAAAAAGAAGCATGGGAGGGCTGCAAAGATGAGGGAAGAGTGGGTTTGTATACGGACAGAAAGACCAGTGTGCTATGCACACACAAGAAAATACGGAACCCGGTAGGTACCCTGGTTGAAGCGCTGTCGGGGTTAACACACCCAGTTTCTGAAAATCAGCACACAACAACAAAATTATGGAAATACCTTTCTCCTTAGGAGTTAATAACCAATTTATCCAGCACACGAATAGATCTACAAAGAACATTTTCAAAGTATAAGCAGACAAGTGTAAACAAATTTTTTGAAGAGAAAGTTTAAGCTGTGCGCTGCGAGCCAACGACTGTTAAAACAATGGATGAATTAGCCTACCTGGCTGCTTGGGGTGGTGTCCAACACACAGTGAGCTGTGGGATGACATCGAGAGCCGCCAATCAACTAATCCCTCCTAAGTGGTGCCACCACATAAGGATATCCTTATAAGACCAACCATCCTTCTGATTCTTCGGGACTTATTTTTTGCTTGAAACAGACAATCACCCATCATACGCACACACAAAAAGACCGCTTAAACAACAATGATAGTAAGAAACTAGCCGGTTCAATACGCATTAGATGAAATGACCGATCTGTCTGAATAAAGATCACCGAAAGCAAGAAAGCCACAAAATACTGGATTGAAAGGGTGGTCCGGTGGAAAGGGTGTCTTTGAACGAATTTACCCACATACTCTAAGGACTATCTTCCACAAAAACTATCGCGAAGTAGGATGAGTCGTTTGTGTGGGGATGACCTTATAAACATTGAACATCCAAAAACCTATCCGTCTGCAGAAGCGACTTACAGCGTGAACCGATGTTGTCCACCTAACGGCTTGTTTAGTCATTCGGCACATGCTAAGGGATCCGAGGATTGGTTTGTGTCACCAAATTCATCGGGTCACAAACAATGGGTCTGTGACGGATTGAGCTCTCCCATCCCTCCTAAAGTATTCTACTACATGTAAACTACTACACGGAATCTGATGAAAGTTGGAGATCAAAGTAGGAACAAGGCACTACCGCATAGTCCCCAAAGCATGCGAAAGTACTAATGGTCCTTAGAACTCACAAAGACCTGACAGTTGGATACGGTTATCCAAGTGAAAATGTGCTCAAACCGAACTAAACCGTGAATGCTTTGAAGCATGCATGCACAACTTAGGTCAGGATCGTCCCCCGTTATGAGGCATGCATTTAACAGAAGTCGGAAACGGACATTATCAGTCAATTTGAAATAACGACAGGTTTCACCTTTCTACTATAGCTGTTTTCCCACCTCCTTCCATCAAAAGTTATCTCTTTGAAAGTAACTTTGCAGAGAAAAGCCACAACTCTACGTAAAGAAATAAACTGAGAATACACGACCGACTCACTGTCTGCTTCCACTCCAGAGGGACGTTGTTTAGACGGGTAAGATCGATAGATGTTGTTAAGTTCCACAGTCAAAAAGTACACGCTCTCTGGTAAGCAATGTAGCTTTTTGTCTGACCCTATGAACAAACGGGCGTTTGCTGGGACCTCTTCGCCCAGGTGGTGATGCTGTTGTACCATTGTCCCATGCCGATCACCGGAAGAAATATCGACGGATACTTCGGGAAGCGACAGCAGGGATACATCCAAATCACATATGCGGAAAACAATCACGCTCTGAAAAATGGAAGGATCCGAATAAACCAAATCACGTCCGGACAGAACATCGGGCGAGGAGTTATCACTGTTCACGGAGGTTGACTCCCTCAGAGATAGCTGAATTGTGTGAACTGGGTTCAGACTTCTTAGCCAAGCATTACGAGCCTCGTGGAACTCACGGGATCCGTGCCAAGAAACTCGTGGCGTGGCTGAAACCAGAAAAACCAGATGCTCATAAGTTTTCCCACGGTTATGGTTCGCATTTTATTCAGTTTGTTTTCCATAACAAGAAAAGAAATCACACAGGTGACGTGATTTTAACCCCATGAATTCTGGTAAAATGGCCCCGATTCAGTAATCAAGGGAATGGTAGCAGTTGTTCCGCGGAGTTCGTTAGAGGTTATGTGAGAAAAACGACTTCTTTTTAAGCCTGAGGCCTACACAGAGTGCAGTCGAGTGATGCGAAGGTTCGGTTGAAACCACGGACCTTCCAGCCAGTAAGTTGGCGGACAGCGTGCACACCTACCACATGCAGTGTCTGAAAGTAGTAGCAGAAGAACATAGGCGTACTTTACGCTGAATCCATGCTAATAACTTACAACTTGCATGACAGGCAGCCAGCGCAAGTAAGAGCAGTGCAGTGGTGGTAACATATTCGAAAGCATGTCTGGAGTTGAAAGCCCGAAGACACACATCGCTGATGAACACTAGCGAGGACATGATTCGAGTCGAATAGGATGCGGACCAGTCAGAATGATCCTCAGGTAGACTGTCCGAACCAGAACAATGTGATTACAAACTTAACAAAAAATCAGATGACCACAAATAAATGAAATCACACAATCATCCCTTTCTGTTTTTCAGGTTCCCCCACACTCCGATTTCAATAAACAAGGACTACTGGGAGTAAAGAAGGCGCGGTGGACTAAAATGTCAAATGAAGAACGACACTACCCAGTTGATGACCAGAAAGTTGTCCATGACGTTTAATGAGTTGTAGTATCCAGTAGTATAAGGTGGTCATACACATGTCTTAGTGTTGAGAAACCGGATGGGCCAACCACGCTTTTGATAAATCTGCAAACCTGGATTTATAGTAGCCCGTCGAATCATCTAAGCGTCTTCCACAGTGCAATTCATGTCACTGTTATCAACGGTTGGGACAAGTATATAGGACGCTCGGTTGAGGAGTAAGATTGATTCTTATCAGGCAGTGATTCAGTAATGAAGCACCAATGTTCAATACTGATGCTACTCTCGGTGGAATGATAAAAGGAGATGACCACGAGAAAAAAAGCTCCGTGATTTCCCCCGAAGTGATCTGGGTGGTGGGAAATCAAGGGGTCTGGGGTGCCAAAGGAGAGTTGGCAGATCCGAGTGCTAAGTCAGTTGTATCCGGATAGACAGTCTAAACAATGCATGTACCCAGCTCTTTCCCCTCCAACACGCATATATGGCTCTCAGTAGTCGGTTGAATGAGGGAACGCCTACTGCGACAGAAGGATTGGGCAAAGTGAAAGCTTGAACTGTTCGACAGCCGACAGTTGACAGTATGTTAACATTTGAAGTTTCCTGGAAATTAGGTCAAAAATTCGAGAAGACCTGTACAATTGTTTCATTCTCACTAGGAATCATCAGTGATGTGGACCTCACGTACCTTAAGAGAGACTCGAACCCGCAACCCATCAGACAGTAGTTCACGATTCACACTTCTACTACCATAATGGCTGTGCATTGGGTTCCCGATGATTTACACAAACATCAATACACATGCTCAACATCATCTGCTGCATCCATTGTAAGCTGTCTAGTTCCACTAAATTGCAAAGAAAATTGATAGATATAACCTCGTCTTTGTTATAAACATCCGGTCAACTCCATGACCACAGTTCGCAAATTATCAGACTTCAAGCGACAATCGATGAGTATTCAGAGAACATAATCTGACTGCCTAACAGTAGTCAGATAGTTGTCTGAATCAATGGACAATATAGCTGAAATCAAACTAGATTATTCCTCTTCACAGTGAACATATATACAAGCCAAGTCCGTGGATAACAGATACCGCCCGCAGGACTGGAAAACAATAATACTGGTCTTAGAAGCAGGTCCTAGGCCTATCACAGCAGACAACAACAGAATTCCAAATAAATAGACTTCGCAAATCCGAAAAAGCCGAGCTGACCACCAGGTAAAAGTCGGTCCATTTTGTGCAACACAGTAAGATGAGATATGTGATCAGTAAAGTCTAAAAGTGCAGTTTCCGAATAAACACTAACCGGTGCTAATTATATACACGGAAAACAATCGGAACAGCAGATTAGAACAATTTCATACCCATCGTAGCATGGGGGGATTTTGTAATTTCAACTGAAATTTCATCCTGTCAGTGAGGTCAATCTGGCGCCATTGGCAATACGAAATCTCAAATGCCACCGTTGAACCGAAGGATTGCATTTCCGCTGGACTATAAAGCTCAACAACGATCGATACACCAACACATAATGATGTCGCGCAACACAGTCGTTTCAACGGAAAGATCATTCTGGACATTAGCTGTTTTTTTATTCAACTAATGGGTCATACACTAACGATAGGCCATTTCTAAACATTAAACCCTTCAGAAGCCGCGTGAATAGTAGAATGCCTTAGTCCAGTGTGAAAGTTGTAGTCCTTTTGTGAACTGGGGTGGTTTCAACGTGTTAAACATACAGAGTCTCTGACAGGAAGCAAACTGACGAGTATGTTCTAGACAAATATGGTAATCGGTTCCTCAAGATTAGGGTTGAAATGTCTGCTGTAAAGTGTTCTGAAACTGCTGGGCAAATATCGTCATAAGGTCTAACATTAAGGCTTTGGCTGATTTTCGCAACAAACCCACACGCTAGGTTTCGGAACTATGGGGGATCATTTAGTAATTAACGAAGCATGTAATCCTCAAGGTGACGAAAGAAAGGGGTGCACTTCCAATGACAGATACAAGGTCTAGCAAGGCCTATCTGTATGAACAACGGGTGACCATAACATGGTTTGGCATGACATTCGAGGACAGTCAAAACTAGCAAAGCAGTAGCGCCTGCCCTCAGTTGTCTGGACAAAGGAGGGTGAGTAGGGGGAACCCACTCAGTCTTCGACAAGAAACTGGTATGCAACTGATTGAGGGGACGAAGCCCACAAAATTGAGGAAAGTTTCCAGAGATGTTGGTATATCCAGTAATACGCCCACATGGAGGCCAGCCGTCAATATTTCTGTTCATCGGACGTGCACCGCAGACTTCAAAAGATATAGATGCGGCGCTCAAATGCAGCGAAAGCCCTTGGAATGCGCTGGAAGATACTTTAATGAAGGCGCCATGGAGACGACAGTTGAATAGACCGAAGCGGAGCCGATTAATTTATTCCGAAACAAGTTGCCCATTCGCTATCTTTGACGTGCCAAAACTAGATGGTTGCAACACACGGTTGCGAAGCCTGCGGAACGTCTCACTACAACCCAAGTCTAAGAGGAAAACTAGCCTAGGATAACTTACTATGCAAATGTTTTTTTGCACATTAGTAGAACTGACAAAAACGTGCCAAGAAACAAGAAATGATAGGCTCACTTAAATAGTTCGGCAAGTAAAAAAGTAAAAGAACAGTCGATAGGGGGAGCGTGCCGGAAATTCCGCAACTGAAGAGCACTAGGGGGGTGTATGGAATGCTAAAACGATCCAGGTATAATGACCGAAAAGCTAATGTAGACTAACGCCCGGACAGGTGAGAAAAGGTTGAATTTAAAGCTTCTCAAGCTCCACTAAAGAGGTTTTCGACACTGTCACATTGTTGGGTTTGGAAAGCATGAGGAGGGGACAACATAAATGGACGAAAGAGAACATAAATGTTGGTTTGTTAGTCAACAATCAGTTTCAAAATCACTTACTGTTCAAGTGGTACGGATACCAATCCAATTCAAGCCTATTAAAGTGGACTTTGATGTATCCGTTCGGCGTAGCTGTGAGGTTGGTATCTGCAACAAAAATTGATGAACAACCGAGTCAACAAATGTCGATAGTCTCGTTTCGTAAAAGCAGGTCACGGTTTAGCAGTTAGCGAGTACTGAAACGGAAAGCCAAATATTGCATTAACAGTAAAAAAAGATTCTGCCGCTTATGCAACTCAAGAGTGTCATCCATTCAGTGTTGATCCCACCGTAAGCGGGCCGAGATGGCACCTTCGACGTGAAAATGTTTAATCCAGTTATTCAGACATGACCCGAATACGATAGCTTGTAGCACCGCAACTAGTGAACATCAGTAAACGAAAACGTTTGAGTGTTATGAACTCCATGTCCACTCTCTCTTTGACACACCGATGGGAACACGGAAGCAATCATCTATTAAGCCCAACAGTGGCTTTCTCATTAGATGTCACCTAAAATAACCAGAAAAGAAGTGGACGTCTCTTGCTGCGGTCGGTTAACACTGCTTGTGCTCGCATTCAAGCTTTGGGAGAAAGGATTCATTAGGAATACGCATTCAAACAGTCATTGGACCATCACCGCATCTTGAATGGATGTGCAGTAAAGTGGCTAAGTTTCTGAACCATACGTCGTCTGGTCCATATGAAAATATCTATCAGGCTCATATTACAAGTTGGGGAATTTCCACACCTATAACAAGCGAGGCAGGGGACAAGTGTCACACTCTCACAGTGGCTTGTTTACACTTTGTGCAGTTGGTTTCCAATCATACAGCAGTAGACTGTTTATGGATATATATCCAGAAATCCAACCCATCAAACGCCAGGGTATGGATTTCGTGAAGTTGAGTACACACCACGGTAACCGATTGACTGTTAAGAGCGTTTATCGAGAATGCTTCACTCTGTGGTATGAACTGTTCAGCTGTAGCACCATTTCGGTACCTAACTGCCATGCCACCAGAAGGAAGCACGAGGGCTAGGATACTGCCAGGTTACTCAAGCCCAGACAGGCAAAGGTGAGAGGCAGAGGTCGGGTTAGAACCATGGACCTTCCGGTCAGTAAATTCGCGATCTAACCGCTGAGCCATCTCGCCCCTCCTATAGTATGAACTAAGGCACAGGTAGTGTCGATGAACCTCAGTAAGGATAGGAAGCACTTCACGAAAAGTCTCAATGTGATTGGATTAAAGTGGCCAAACAGACCCTTGATAAAATCACGCGTTTATGGTATCCAAGAAAATGTGCGGCGAGAAGGATACATTGCCATTCGGTTCCAGCTACCAGAGCATTGTTTTTCATAATTGTGTAGCAAAGTCGGGCGAAATTCGTCGACAGTCAACCACCAGTGTGTTTCCGTAAGAATCATCAAAGAAGCAAGGTCCCCGAATTCTGACTCGTCCGTCTTCATGCTTGAAAACCTGTGTCTACTGAACAGGGTGATGTTTTCTACGCAGAATCCGGAGTGATGAAAACCCATGGCTTGACAAAAAAAGGTGATAGAGGTCACGAAAATCCTGAGTGCTGTGACGGGAACTCTCCTTCCAGAATGAGGTCCGAGCAACTCTCTGTGTTTGGCCAGAGATGGCGCAAGATGAGGAAACAACCAGATGCCAATGGTGTTCCTATGCAGATTGTTAAAACACATGTTAGCGGTTGCTCATATATATTTGTTCTAGGCCATAACTAGGCTCTTTCCAGCCCCCGTTTCCGCCTTTACACATCAAGGTCTACACTACATAAATTGATGTGGTTGGATAGCACTGAGGCACTGGTGCCGCAACACTGGTGTTTCTGGTACTGGCGACAATTAATCGTACACCTATATCGCCCATTTGTACCCATATCCAGACTATATTAGGTCTGTCTTATAGTACTTCGAGAATGACATTTCAGAAGTATGCCACCCTAAAACGCCCTGTGATTGACTGTCGACTAAATTCGACACTAATTAGAGGGTTTTGTAAAAATATGAACTGACAAAACAGCTAAATTTGCTTGGCGTAATAAAAAAAGCATGCCGACGAAAAAGACTATCGTTGTGTACAAACACTGGACGATTGACAGAAATAAATACACTGAAACGATTCCTAATACCCAGTGCGATGATTGAGCATGTGAAAAAAACAAATATAAATATACGGCACGCGCTAATTCTCCAGTGATAGATGAACAACAGTCATAATTCCCACGCATATCTATGTCAACAGAGATCTAGCAATGTGTATTTCAATCTGAAAAAGCCGGAAAATTTTGCAAACGTCTAGTCCATGTCAAAGTTATGAAGGTTTCGAACGCAGACAAAAAAACACGTAATGAAAACAAGGTTAATCACTACGGAAGACTACCTTGCATCGTCCCCACCTTTACTCTACAAAAAGCCCTGGTGAGGCAACAGCACTGCTCGGTTAAAACAAGGACAATTGGATTATTACCGTTTTTAGCTTCATCGCAGAAATGCATCTCCGTTCGGTACAAGGTCAAATGGTAAGAAGTCTCGACAACGTCATAGCGGTGAAAGAGTAGAGCAGCTGCTGAGTACAAATCCTTCTTTCCTGCTTTATTATGTCGAGTAGAAGCAGTCTCCGTAGGCTGAGGTACTTTGCTACAACTCAGGTGTTGACGCTGAAAACGGAGTAGGGGAAAAGAAAGTTTTAAAGTAAATGGATAAGTCATTCCGGAATTGCTTATCTTAAACTTGCCAAGTTTGGTTCAACCACCTAAATATAAAAACGCTCAGCTGTAGCACCCTTTCGGTGCCTAGCTGCCATGCCACTCGAAGGAAGCACGAGGGCTGGGATACTGCCAGGTTGCCCAAGCCTAGACAGGTGAAGTCGATAGGCAGAGGTCGGGTTCGAACCACGGACCTTCCGCTCTAACCACTTGGGCCATCTCGCACAGCCTATTCTACGGTTCAGAGCTTCCGCTCGCAAAAATTCCAGAATTAAGCAATCCATCCTCGTGGAAACATTTGAAAGTCCAAGCAGCCCCATTGACAAGAGTGTTCCTTCCTAAGAGCGGCGATTCACATAAACGGCTTCGCACGAGCACACCGCCTGAGTACATGACGATAGTTGTGAATGCACCGGGTATTCAAGAATATTGTATGGCCCTGATTGAGGCACAGTAGCGAAACTTAGTCAACCCATACAACGATCATGAAACCGTATCACCGAAAACGAGAAGTCTCGATTGGCTAAACTCAAACAGGAAACAAGAAACAACCAGATAGATCACTACGAAAATGAGTGTTTATAAGGCAGTGAAAACAACCATGATCATTACAAACTCGATCAGAAGGGCGGTGCATCCCTTCGTCAACCTTCATCAACTACAATTAATAGTTCAACAGTGATATGCTAAAACAAATGATCGTCTAAGCCAATTCAGTTAGAGTCAAGAGGAGCCTGCTGGTGCGGTGAGATAGTGTCTGCAGTGATGATAGCAAACGAGAGCCGTTTAATTGACAGTCGACTGATGGCATTTCAGTTTTAGTACTCTATCTGTTGGAAAGAACAAGTAGTTTGGGAAACCAAATAGTGTCTTCTCCTCATCCTGTGTTGTTAAGGTGGCCTAATAAACACTCCAGCTATTTCCTACCGCGCACCGCCGCGCAGTAACCTCGAATCTAATCCAAGTGTGTGACAAGTGCTAAGATAATTCTAGTTAGTCCATCCTAAAATTCTGACAAGCATAGCCGAGACAGTCAACAGGAGCCATGATGCACGCTCCGCACGTCAGACAACCAGGGTCCAACTCTCGATAAGGCTGAACACCGCATCGCTAATGAGCTCTCAGAAGACTGACATAATTACAACAGGACAAAAGGAAAAGTGCACACACGAAGTGGCGTGAATGCAAATATCTAGCCACTGTCCAACAAGGACGTCCGAGTACCTCGACCAGCATGCTTTTCCAACATACCAACATCAGGAGACGTCGTCTGAGACCAAATTATTTTTTGTTGAAAAGCCGAAAGCTGACATGCAATCGTGTCGTTCCTGCGTGCAGTTACCACAATTCCGATTGGTATAGAACGGAACGGCGTTTCGCTTATTAGAGTATCTTTGGTTCTTACAAGGTTTGACTGTCCGTCATCTAACAGGAACAGCGAAGACAGCCACTGGGTTTTCATTCGAAGTGTCAACATACTCGTTTATTCAGAGGGGATCACGCGAGCGCTCCTTGAGTGTTTGTGGCGTAGCGGTAGACGCAGTTCCGTTGCGTGGCAGGTAGTCAGCCCAGGATGGCCAATAATACACACTACTACTATGAAGGGGACTCAAGGCTAGTGTTTCACTCTCATTGTGAATAATTAATTGTAGGTATCTCACAAGTCCAGATGAGCTCCCGTGCTATCAGTCTTAACCAAAGGCGTCTCTACATAAGCTCCCGTCTGACACTGGTAGAATTCTGAAGGTCATACAGCCGTAATGCGCTGGCATCAAATTAAGCAGTTCAGCTGTGGTATCCTTCAGTGCATACCTGGAAGGCAACTATCATAAAACACGAAGGCCGGGTTGCCACCCGCTGCAGGAGAGACTGAAAATCCAGGAGTGGGTTCGAACTACAGACCTCTTTGTCAGTAAATCGCGCACCAGCACGAGAGCTAGCCCAAATTCATAAGGGCAACCCACGAGGACGATAAGGTCAGAGTCTGGTACGGCAGTGTGGTCAAATTTCACATATGCAACAAACAAGTCCGTTGAGATATGTATCCATGGCCACCACACACGAACCAAAGAGCAAGAAGAAGCCGAATAAAGACAACAGTCACAAACATACCTTTGCTCTGGATGCTGCAAACTGTCTACTCTGTTCAGCAGCCAAGAAAACGCTATGCTGGAGCGATCGGGCAAAGACGATAGCTGCCTCAACTTGAGACAAGGTGAGAATCCATAGAAGGTCATCAAGATACATTTGCATTCGAGAACTGATAAGCGCCGAATCTATGCGGATAATTAAAAAATGCATCAGAAAAGGTTGAGAATATGAACTTAAAACAACCGCTGAGAAAATCGATGTACACACTGATGTAACTTATGGATTATTGACACTAACTTTAGGAGATTTTTTTCTGTAGTATCAGCTCAAGTTAATTTTCGAACGAGCTGCATAACACAGCGAGTGAATGTAAAGAAGTTTCTTCATCGCAAGCAGAATTTTAATAAATTTGCTAGAAGATAATGAATTATCTTTTTCTAGATCATACGATTGGACAGTGGGATCCCGATAATGACGAAATGGTTGAACACACAATATCTAGCAAGACTCGATTTGTCGCCCTTCTGACGCCTTTAAAATTTTCTAATTTGTTTGACAGAATCTCTGCTTGAAAAGCATGAATTCGTGGTCTTAACGCTATGATTTTGCATTTTTCGACGCAAGTGTCTGACGTTCCATACCCGAGATGGGAAATCTCCACATCATTCTGTGCCTAATAGTCCCGGTCAGAAAGTTCTGGTTTCATTCAATTTGCTTTCAACTGACCAGTTACAAGGCACGAACGATGGGTGAACGGTGTCGGTTACCGTGAAGTGGGAGTAAGTGGGACATACGTACAACCACGCCTTGGAGGGGATGGCGCGTTCAGTTAGCTCAAATACTGGTTAGCTACGCATTGAAGGCGATAGCTTCGATGCACGAAAGCTGTGATTTACTCGTTTGTGTATAGTGTTTATTTCACCCCCAAGGTTAGCTACCATTGAAGGCGATAGCTTCGATGCACGAAAGCTGTGATTTACTCGTTTGTGTATAGTGTTTATTTCACCCCCAATGGCGTTAATTCTCGAAAAATACGTCGTGTATGCCTTTATATACTCATTTTGTCTCCAAACGACTTTGACAAAATAGGCCGAATAGACCGCATATGAAACGCGAGAACAACTTGTACCAGGTGCTAACGCGCATAGCCTTCCGGTTATATCGCGGAAAGGGGTATTTTAGAGGGTTCTCAGATAAAAAGGTGATTATATTCTGAATATGTCATTCTGATATGTACAAGACATCAAAATGCATTAAAATGCACCAAATGATCCCCCATTAAAGATAGCGCGCACGGGTTCGGTCAGAACCATTCTCGCTTGAGGCGATTGTCACTAAACATATTTAATTTTTTACGGAAAATATATGTCCCTATTGCTTTTTGACCCGTTTTATGCCAGCAGTATTTGTTATCTCTGTCTTCGAGCACTGCTCGGCTTCGTCACTTCTCTGCAGATGTCCCAAAACTTCCAGTACACATTCTCAAAATATAATTGGTTAGGAACATTCACGCTTATTCGTGTGTAGTTCTCTTCCCTACAGTTTTGTAAAACCCGCGGGGGGTTACGCTCCTTACTCCCTATCAGCGATGTGCTTTACTCGCATGCGTCTGACTGAATCTGCTCGCAATATTAAGTCGGCGTTCACTTCTAAATCCTCCTATTTTTTCTTATCTGATCTGTACTTCTGAAAGTCATATCATGCACACGCAACAACTGCCTGATTTCAGCATGTACGCCTAAACTGCTTTCAGCCACTTAAAGCAAAATGATGTGTTCGGTGAGCAAGCCCACCAGATTCAACGTATTTGCCTATTGGTCAGTTGTTCAATGCTTAGTGCAAGTCACTCTGTTTATGCATACTTTCAGTTATCCGGAAGAACAGAACTCAACAAAGCAAAACACATGAAGCTACCGCGTTATGTACTGAATGCTCAGCTAACTTGGATAGATCAGGGGAGCTGCTTAGTTGCTTAGTTCTGGGTCAGCCCCTGACGAATCCAAACCTATGTAGGGTCTCCTCTAGTCCTACAATCCTCATAATATTGGGATTTTGATGTTAGTATGCTACACACTGGGTGGTAGGTGACGGTTGTCAGCAAACATGTTTAGCTTGGTTGACCAAGGTAAATCACAGACTGGTTCCTTTTTACCTTGGTTGAGTGGACGTAGAAGTTACATACAAAACGGACGGACTTCCACGATTTTCCCGAAAAAGTAAGCAATCCATGCTTTGCTCCGTTCGTCGATTTCTAATGCCCGAAAAAATCCGTCTCGCGAATGAGGATCCGGCCTGAATGATAAGCTTTAACAAAAGACAGCGAAATATCTCCGCTCCGAAATTTGATAGCTTCTGTGAGTATATTTTCATAAAGGGAACTACTCACAAGGTTGCTGAAAACTCTTCGAAAGCCCACGACCGGTTTCGCCCTTCTTGGGGCTCATCAGGTAGGCGCAGTCCCCGAGTTTCCGTCAACCTGAATCCAAATTGCGCTGTTTTCGAGAAATAAACTCATTTGCAAATTAATTTGGTTTTCACGAGAGACTCAACTGAATCTATCGTTTATGAACATATACTGCGATATCTCGAATATCATGCCAACTGAATCATGAGGCGGCCTGTGTGCAGCACATTCAGTTGTAGAATATCATAAACGAGAGATTCAGTTGAGTCTCTCGTGAAAACCAAATTGATCTGCAAATGAGTGTACTTCTACTGTGAATATGCTTCATCTGGCCACACGAAGAATTGTTAGCTTCACTCGCTGAATTTAACGGGGGACATCGATGGCGAAGTAGATATACAAAATAGCTTGTCGGTGATGTCGCTAACAACCATGGCACAAGAGTGCTCCGGATCTGACAAAGTACAAACAGCATGAAGCGAATCCTGAAAATTTAGCAGTTATTTCTTTAAAATCTCTCAGTTTACCTATGTAGAACAGAGTGTATACACAAACAAAACGGATGTCTCTAAATTATCCAACTAAAAGGGACCATTTCACCTGAGGACACCATTCCATTCTACTCCGATGAGCAAAGAAAGTAGGCATTTGAACAGCTGTTTGTGAAACCAAGGAATGAAGCACATTTGACACTGGAGTGAACAACCGAACTAAGAGCTATGACTATTCCGAAAGGAATGATAACTGTATATTTTGAAAGATTCACGTGAATCATGGTTCGGTGGCGAACCCACACCCAAGGTTACGCAGAGAAAGATAGACCAAGTTGAAAGTCACAAGCTGATAATGATAAACTTATCCGGAACGGAATTCCACCTTTTGATCAGTGGAATGGTTAATCAAAGGGTAACCTTTGGTATCCTGTCTACACTGTTCGTTAAGAAAGTTACACAAACCGTCAAAAACCGGTGTGCATATGAAAGTGAGTTGAGGATTGATGCATGAAAGTGAACAGCCATCTAGCAGTTAGTTTGTGTGACCTATTGTCAATCCACATGTGTGCTTCCAGATTACCGTACTTGGTGCATACTAAAGCAGGTCCAATATATGATTCTGCCGATCGCTTCAATCCAAGTTGCTGTGCGCCTTCTCACTGCATCGCTCAACTGCACTTTTCCGTTTACGGTCATAGCGTTTAAGGCGTAAAGCAAGAATGAGGCATCAGCACCATCCAGTGTGATATTTATGTTCCCTGCTTCTCCGGGCAACAATACTGAGTTCTGACGTGTAGAAACCCACACTGGCTCCACTGCTGAGCCAATGTTATTAGAACTGTTGCCATATGCAAAATGGACTACTTGAACTTGCAGTTAAACTAATATGGTAGGGCATGAACAAGCCCAAGCCAGGAAGATAGACAACTAAAGGCTAATGCATGACACCAAACTTAAGGCCATGGTTATCCAGGGTTCATGATAAATAATCTGGAACAAGAAAATGCAACGTATCAGTACGCAAGGCTCGTCAACTCAGCGAAAAGTGGGTTCAGCCGGGGCTTTATAGCAGCTCATAAATTAAATCACACAACTGCTCGGAGGATTAAGGAATATCGCCGTTACGCTTGATAACACTGGCTACCCAGTTCTACGACACACTGATTTTGTACTAAAACGATAGAATCTTAAATGAAAGGGACGGCGGCGAAAAAGCGTGGAACGGAACTATAGATAGAAACATCCGCAGAACGTGAATTCGTATTCAGCCATCATATGCAGTGACAAGACAGCACAAGATTATCAGTAGAGAGGTCACACAAATTATACAAGTGGAAAGTGTTTCAGATTCCTGTAGGAACTTTCAAGCCAACTCCATATGCATACCAGTGCTCGAAGGTTGATGTACACATCTTCGCCAGTATTGCGCGCCTTATGTAGGCACCAACCGAGTTCTTTGGTAAGAAGTCACACTACATCAGCTGAAGGTACTGTAACAAGATTCATTCATTTGCCATAGATTGGGTAGTGGAGGAAACTTAAGCCAACACTAACTAGAACCACGGAAACGCAATTCCAATAAACCTCCAAGCGAAAACCTGTTTGCGTGTGAACTAACCGGTGCAGCCGAGTCAGGATAACTGGATTCATCCACTAATCACTATAGCCCAGTTAACTCACAGTAGACCAAAACTTCGGAATGTTCAAAGTAAACTTCCGCACAGCACCAAACTGTGGTCCAACGTCCTTCAACTCCCAGCTTGCTAGCAACTTTTGACTATTGATCAGGTGACAGCTGATTTGTTCACCGAGCTTGGGAAATGTATTACAAACGAAATCACGAAAACCAAACACGTTCTAGGCCCTTAGTCTCGTATAAAATCAGGGTAACCAGAGTGAGTTTCACAGTTAGTGGGCGTTGATGGAATGCCTGTCCATTCGTTGAGATTAGCGTCGTAATTTTTCAACACTTCTAGTACGAAGACTCGTTCCGCTAACAATGGTTCACCGGCGTCACATTCCGATCCATTAGGCACTTGTATCGAACGACTGATGGCTGCGATTGAGACGATGATCTTGTCAGATAGATTATAATCTCGTTAGGTATTGAAAAATGATTGTTGACTCCAAATTGAGCCAAGAAACTTGGGTAACTGCTTGAGAACGGTATGATATGATATGATAGCTTAGAGGCGCCTGAAAAAGTACTATCTGGCAGAACATCAGACGGAAATTAAATAAGCTTACCACTCAGACGCTTTTTCAATGTCACTCGAATTCGACCACTATTAGTGATTAGTTTGACTGGTGTGCCGTTAAGTTCGTTGAGCAAACCATCCGCAACAATCCGTGCTGAATCCCAGGAAAGCTCTTTGAAAATGAGCACTGCATCGGCGTTAGGGAAGAGTAAACTTGTGAGCTTCAGCGGTCCAGATTGCCATGTAGGGGTTTTGCTAACTAGCGACAACCGTGATATCTGACAGGAAATCAAGTATTTAGTAGAAAACAAGGGAAACAAAGGAAGAAATCAATGAACCTAAACCACACAGTCATTGAAAGTTGAACCGTACAATACACACGACATGAAAAGTTATCTCAAGAATGAACATGAAGGTTTCCTTGTTCAGTTTGGGCTTGGCTTCCAGATTAAGCTCCGACTCTTCACAACAGACGACTGGCTGGAACCTGTATAATGTTGGCACTGTGACCGAGTGCAACCCTATTAACTTCGGCTCCGCATTAATCGAGTGAAATCTGCCAATTACTAACCAAGAAGTGGACAAGTTAAGCATGCATTTTGAAAAGCGGTTGCATGGATACACTCATAACTTGTCAAACTCCGCACAACGGACAACACCTAGAGAGCTAACATTGGTATTTTATATTAACTCTGTTCGCTGTGCAGATGGACCTTCAAATACACCTGATGCAAAAACAATGCAGTGGGAATGATGATGACGAGGAAGTGCACGGCACACGCAACGAAAAAATACACATGATTATGGGGCGATACAATTTTGCATATACCTAATCCGCTCACCTCAATTGATGCCTCAAATGCCTTAGCACAGAAGCGAATTGACACGGCATTAATCAAAACAGTGGCACCGTCGACAACGCGATCCGCCAGACGATACTTCCCAGACCCGATTCTGTCTAGGATAAAGCACAGCTCAACTGGGTGATACTTACCTATAACTGGCAATCAGGGAATCTACTTCAGGTCGAGGATTTTCCAGTGTCTCCAGTTCCACGTCAATCTGATCAATCACCTTGAAATAAGGTCTTTGGTTATTCAAGGTGAAAAGGAATCTATACCACACAAACTGGATGGGTATTCAGCTTAGTCCATCGAATCTGAATAGAAGAATTGTTTGTTACCACAAATTGCTGTATTAGGACATACTTTAAATGAAATGCCAGAGCATTGTGCCTTGCGCAGGTTCAGCCAAGTAGGCAACCCCAGAAGTTCCATTAGTACAGCCTCATTGAGTTCCAGGCTATCAAGCTGGGCTTCGCCCTTGACAATGCTTAGGTTGATCTGATCGGCAGATAAGTTCTTTGTGAATCTGGAGAAAGCAAACACAAATGAGTTATGTGGACCAATTCGTTTGTCATTTTCATGGAAAGTGGGTTATATTTAATCCGCACAGTGTTTACATCGATGAGGACCTTAAAACAGTCTAAAAGGACATCGTACACGACTAAGGTAAGTGAATAGAGGGAACCATAAGCGAGGCATGTTGGAGAATCTAATCAAAGATGATAACGTGCGATACAAAAATGTTTGGAAAACCGGCAGTGGGTGACAGTTCGGTGGGAGGTAGTTATACCTGAGGGAATATGAAGGAGCTAAAGCAGTGAAGCTTCTCTTAAGCAAGCAGACACTCAGAAATGCAAGCATCTGGATCGAACGCACGGCGAATTTCAAAGAGTTTACTTTCAAGATATCAACTTGGGGTGCTCAGTCAACACGATACTTGTTTCCGACAGCCAACAAATACATCTACAAGTTACCGACACATGGGAGAACGGGACAACAAAAAACAACCATGGACCACGATCAAAACACTGGGTCTTCTCCGGTCCTCAGTTTCTGAAAAAAAATTCAAAAGGCACACCATAGGCGACAAAAATCACTCTTTTAAAAGGACTTACTGTAAAAATGGTTTAATAATCTGGCTCTTTATTAAGGACGCCATCGTAGAGATGAACCAGGGGACTTGTCATCAGCTGAAGACAGTTGAGGGTGTCGTGAGGCCCGGTCGACTAGTACTAACGTGTGTAGACAGCCGCACGTAGATGTCAATGACAATAAATATAGGGCTGAAAGGATAAAACGGATCTATTTTCAGGTCGAAAGATGCAAGGATTGAAAAAGAAACACTTCTTCCCCAAACTTCCAGTCACCAAAAGGTCTGCTGCTGCAGTGTGGAGAAAACAAATTCTCATACCTGGTAGGAGTGGAAAAGATGCGGCAAAGGGTGGGGAATTATTTTTGTAACACTCATTTAAACACCTTACCAGAAACTTCCCGTAAGGTGGGAGGGCGATGGCTAACAATAGCGTTACCTGGAGATGAAAAAGTAAATCAAAACATCTGCGAAAGGATGTGTCTAACGGCTGTAAGTGCACCTTACGTACAGCATCCATTGAGAGTTATTGTTGAGTTGGAGATCGCTGATATCGCCACCTCCCTAGATGGAACTCCGGGGCTCAAATCGAAAATGATCAAAGCACTGACAGGTGTGGCTAAATCCCGCAGTCAGTGGTACAGCTTCATAAAAGCTATCACATTCGATGCATCATCATCATCATCATCATTGTCAGCTGTAAGAACCGCGTACTGGTCGTACAGTGGTTGTAGCTGCCACAGTTTCGTTCACCGATGACTTTGGGGGGAGGGGGTAGGTAGCTGCGCATTGCACGCGCGAGCTGGTAAATTGGTGCATAAATCTAGCACTGTCAGTGGGTTGTCAAGCGGGGGGGGTTGGAAAAGGAGCTATGCATTGAAGGCAATAGCTTGGATGCATCAGCGCCATTGAGGGCGCGACTGGGCCATGTCTGATAATGTCTCTAGCCATTGATGTGGCCCGTCTCGGGGTCCCCATCCAGGAAGACGGCAGTGACCAGCGCAGCTGAGTTTGCTGGTAATGGCCTTCATACTTCGCTG